GGACCACCCCAGCCCTGGTGGCCCTCTCCTCACCCATCCTTCTGGTCAGGTTTCTCCTGCAGCCCGGCCAGGAGCCCGATCAGACACTCGTCATAACGTTCCAGGCCCCCGGCAGGAGCTCTGCTCAGGTAGGAGTTGTACTCCTGGAAGAGCCAGGCAAAGGCCAAGTCCAGGCGGCCCCTGATGTCCTCCAGGATGAAGCTCAGGACCTCACTCTTCAGGGGAACCTCAAACTGGGTCACCAGGGAGGCCAAGATCTTCACACGGGCCTGAGGGGGCGTGAGGAGGATCTCAGGGGGGTTTAGGAGGGTCTCAGGGGGGTTCAGGAAGGTTCAGGAGGATCTCAGGGGTGTTTAGGAGGATCTCAGGGGGGTTTAGAAGGATCTGAGGGGGTTCAGGAGGATCTCAGGAGGATCAGGAGGAGCTATGGGGGGTTTAGGAGGATCTCAGGGGGTTCAGGAGGATCTCAGGGGGGTTCAGGAGGATCTCAGGGGGGTTCAGGCTCAACAGGGCCAAGCTGGGTCACATCAACTCTCAGGGAACACTCCAGGCCTGGGGACAAGGAGCTGGAAGGAGAAGGGTCTGGAAAGGAAAACCTTAAAGGTCTTTTCCAACCCAACCAAGTCCATGATCCTACAAGTCCATGATCCCTGGAGGCACCTCCAAGCCATGGAGATGCTGCTGAGAGACCTGGTTTGGTAGAACTTGGTTGAGTTGGGTTCACAGTTGGACTCAATGACCTTAAAGGTCTTTTCCAACCCAACCAAGTCCATGATCCTACAAGTCCATGATCCCTGGAGGCACCTCCAAGCCATGGAGATGCTGCTGAGGGGCCTGGTTTGGTGGGACCCGGTTGAGTTGGGTTCATAGTTGGATTCAATGACCTTAAAGGTCTTTACCAACCCAACCAAGTCCATGATCCTAAGAGTCCTCATCCATGGAGGCACCTCCAAGCCATGGAGATGCTGCTGAGGGGCCTGGTTTGGTGGGACCCGGTTGAGTTGGGTTCATAGTTGGATTCAATGACCTTAAAGGTCTTTACCAACCCAACCAAGTCCATGATCCTAAGAGTCCTCATCCATGGAGGCACCTCCAAGCCATGGAGATGTTGCTGAGGGACCTGGTTTGGTGGGACCTGGTTGAGTTGGGTTCATGGCTGGAATCCATGACCTCACAGCTCTTTACCAACCAAGTCCATGGTCCTATGAGTCCATGATCCCTGGAGGCACCTCCAAGCCATGGAGATGCTGCTGAGGGACCTGGTTTGGTAGAACTTGGTTAAGTTGGGTTCATAGTTCAACTCCATGACCTTAAAGGTCTTTTCCAACCCAACCAAGTCCATGATCCTACAAGACCATGATCCCTGGAGGCACCTCCAAGCCATGGAGATGCTGCTGAGGGACCTGGTTTGGTAGAACTTGGTTAAGTTGGGTTCATAGTTGGATTCCATGACCTTAAAGGTCTTTTCCAACCCAACCAAGTCCATGATCCTACAAGTCCATGATCCCTGGAGGCACCTCCAAGCCATGGAGATGCTGCTGAGGGACTCGGTTTGGTAGGACCTGGTGGAGTTGGGTTCACAGCTGGACTAACTGTTCCTGGTTGCCCTCCTGGATCTCCAAGGCCTTTCCCAAGCCCAGGCTGACCCTGGGGGGGGTGGGAGGTCCTACCTGGGCAGCCCCCCCGCAGGCCACGGCGCGCTCGGCGCGCAGGATCCGCTTGACGGCGCCGAGTTTGAGCTTCTCCACCTGCATCTCGCTCAGCGGCTTCAGCACGTCGGCCAAGCGGAAGATCTTCTTCCTGCCCCCAGCCCCGGCCAGTCTGCGGGGGCAGGG